TGTAAAAAAAAAAAAAAAAAAAAAAAAATGCTCGACAAATTGCACGTTACAAAAACACACTTTTTTCGCACTTTATTATTGGTTCGGTCTGTGCGAAACTTGTTGAAATAAAAAATTTTACATCGACGCATTTGATAAGAGAAGAGTTTGAGACTCGACTCGCGCGGTCTACGAAGAAGAAGAAGTGCGTGGTTCCGCTTTTGCGATCGTTCTCATTAACAGTATAAATAGCCTAAATGGTTTTCTACTCCAGTGAGATGTATACTCATTACGATTTATCCGCTGCGTCCGAGACGTTCGGCGCGCGTACGTCATTATCCGAACGACGGCATCCGGATATCTGTCATTGACCGTGCGCCAATCCGCAGAAGAACCCGCAATTGAAGACATCCGGGACACGTACGTGTTGCACAAAATTGAGACTTAGGCGCTAATCGCTCGGCTCCTGGATCCCGGGATCCCCGTCGTCTTCGGTAAAAAGGACGAGAGACCAGAAACCCCGCCTGCTTCGCCTCGTTCGCACGTCTTCGCCATTCATTTATTTTTGCGAACAGCGTGTGTAAGCAAACTAAACAAATCGAACGTCAAAACGCGCGCACGGATATAGAGGGAGAAAACGCGCGCAATGTTGCAACAATGCATATGCGTGTATCCCAAGGACGTGACGGCGAATACCTAACCCTCGAGAGAATTTTTATAAATTCCCGCTTCAATCGAAGAAGTGAGCGTGCAAAAATGTTCGTTTCGATCGAACGTTTGACAATTGTCGCTGTTAATTATCGGGAATGTGGATTTTTGAAGATGTTATTTCTCATTGACATTTTTCGAAAACAATTTCTCCGTCAAAAACCAGAAAAAAAAAAAACGATGAAAAATGTAAACATATCGAGTCTTCTCCCCCTCCCCCCCCCGTAAAAATTGTTCTCCGTCACGTTGCAAACACATATGTTGTAAACGTGAGACGTGGCATTGATAACGTTGCACAACTCTACAGAGAACCGCTGAGAGAGAAAGAAAGAGAGAGAGAGAGAGAGAGAGAGAGAGAGAGAAAGACTATTAATGTTATCACGCGTACTCATTGACACATTAATTTTTATCAATATAATATTGCAAATTCCAATTTACGCCGTATCGCAGAGAGTTTCCGCATTTAATTAATCATTCACATAATCCGCCTGGTTGTTTTTTTAATCGAAATAATTTTGATAAACACTCTAACGCGCCAATATATAATAATCTTCGATTCACAGACGACTGGAAGAAACTTAAGAGACAAAGAGTTCCGTTGCGAGAGAAATCAAGTTATCAGGTACACGTGTACTTGATAAATTAGTTTTTTTTTATTGCATTGTGAATAATTATTAGACAAAATAATTCCGCGCGCGGTCTGGTAATTTGCGAGAACGGGAAGATTTTTGTTTCGGTGCACTTTTTTGTGCGCTTTAAGAATTTCTCACCCGCGGTCACAGTCGAGCACCTTTGCGAACGCGCTTTCTAAATTCTCAATCGCGAATGAAACATTTATTATTTATTAAGAGGATTAGAGAGACACGAGCATTGTATCACACACAGCGCGCACTCGCGTTATATTCTCACGATTTGAGAATTCTCACTTTCCCAAGTTTGCCGGACTTTGACTTGCGAGTTGTTGAACTCTCTTCGCGAGAGTCAAACGCGCGTATATTCATCGATAACGATTTTTTCAATCGTAAACACCATCGCACCAGTGACAGGTCCACGTTAATATTGCGCACGGATTTCGCAACGACGGGATCACATCGCGATACGGTGTCGCGTGTACCGTTGTATGGTATATATATATATATATATATACGATGTATATTTTATAGATGTCATTTATACACACACATCGTATATATAATGACGTCTCTTTCGCGCGCGCCGGTGGCTGACGTCGACGCATTAGCATACAAAAAAAAAAAACCGCGTATATTAATAAAAATTATTAAACACAACTTATGTGTTTTTTTTTTCTTCCGCAACGCGACGCAACGTTCGTCACACAAGCGGGATGTGACCAATTACGAAAAGTAATTTGGTGATTTGTAATAATTGAAAAAAATTGGGGTTGTTCAGGAGAAGTGCCAGTTTATTTCCCAGGCTCGTGACTCACTCACGCCCCCCGGGAGGAGAACCGTCGCGCGCGCTGCGACGGTTCTCGCGTACCTATACGTACCGTAGTAATTTCTCGCTCCGCAAAGTGCCACACAATTTGCGAGTCACGAATATGTTTTCGCGCGCCACAATTTCCCCGACCGGAACGCCGGCCGCGCGCGCCGCAGTTTAAGCGCAGCACTTGATTCTCAAGACGTAGAGTATCGTCGTTAAGTGACCCTAAAGGGAGGACTGCGGAGGCGTCGCCGTCGCCGTCTCTTCGCGTATCAGAATGATTCATCGCGCGCGTATCGTCGTCCCCTGCTCGCGACGGCGCCACTTCCGGTTGCTCTTTCGATGACAACGCAGTTCTGCGTTTTGGCGCGGCGCGCGCGAGAGATGCGTTTTATTTAAAAAAAATAAAAAAACAATTCGACATGTCACCCCGTCCGAATTAACACTTGTAACTTTTTATGAAGTTTGTATTTTAATTGTGTGTGTGAGAGAAAGAGAGAGAGAGTGTAGATAGAAAGACGATTTAAAGATGTTTGTCGTAAACCGTAGTTCTGAAGTTCCGCGGAACTATGAATTTCTATGAAACGTTCGCAGACAAAACAGATTCGCGAGAATTTCCACATCCTCCGGTAGTCTGTTATCCTTCGTTTCCACTTCTCTTCTTCTTTCTCTTCTTCTTCTCTTTTTCTCTTCCTCTTTCTCTCTTCCTCGCGTCGGTGGTTGCAGTCTCAACGAGAGCTAATTTTACAAGCCCGCTGACTCGTCGTTGTCTGGTCTTTCTCAAACGGTAGCAAGAAGGGAAAAGGGCGGGATTCGTCAGTTGTTTCATCGTCGTGTGTGGGGACTCGAGAAAATCGCAAGACTCAAAAACAATTATAGACGGAGAGTTAAAAGTTCGTTTCGTCTTATTACACACAGTCGGATAACAAGGCAAGGGAGAAAACGAAGTGAGATTGAAAATGAAATCTCTCAAAGGTGGAATAAAAAAGAAGCGGAAGAGAAAGAAGAATCGTTTCTTATCCTAGTCGAGCAGTTGGCGGCGTCGTGACCTCAGAAAATTAGATAATTTCGATGCCACGTCTCTCCGCAACGCAATTATCGTCCCGAGTTTGACCTCGGTCGGGCGAGAATCAATTAAGCGGTCCGAAAGTTCAATCGGCGAGTTCAGACAAGAGAGAGAGAGACGTCGTTTCGCTGATCGGTCTGAGATTTCGGACGACCGGCATAAAAAAATCGGGAGAAAAGATTCGTGCAACAATCTGATCGCCAAGATCAAGTAACAAAAAGCGATGTTTTTCGTCGCTCAACTCTTGACTGCTCTTGAATCTCAAAACATGAAGATTTCGATTTATCTCGCAAGTCTCCCTAAAATCTTCCTATCTTTTTAATTTCCGTATTTTACATATCCGCGACATCGCTCTTATCTCTGATATTTCATTTCGATTTAGAAATATTGTATCTCGTATTGAAAATTGTTTGAACATTGAAATCGCAACAATGCGAAAGGGTTCCGCCGACGAGGTGCTGCGCGCTTGTCTATAAAATTATACCTATATGAAAGTTCCGAGAAGCAAGAACGCGCTTCCGGTAGTAGTTACTCTTTATTCGCCGTGTGTGTGCGTTGTAATTGTCCGCTATTACACACGCAACGTTACATAAGCAGGCGAGCCGATGATGCGGCCTTTAAAGAATATGTCATTGTGGGATTTTTTGTTTCCCCAGGCGAACGTGAGCCAAGCCGAGTATGAGAGAGCGCACAGAGAGTACCTGAAACAAGTGCAGTCGCAACACGGGGAGCAGTCCAGAACACGGGTCCAGGATCTTCACGTATTCCAAACCTCAGGTAAGAGACACCTCGTTTCACAACTTTCAACTGACATTGTCCGAGCTCGCGCGCGCGTACTTATTTTATTTTATTTTTTTTTTTATCAAATCGTGTTTATTTCGAAATTAGGACACTCTCGCATAGCGTTTCTGAAATTGATTGAAAATAACCAAAGCGCGACACGCAATCGATTGATCGCAATTAGTCGATATTTCTTTCGCTCGTGCGAATTGAATTTACTCGTATATGTGTACATATATATACATATATATATATATATATATATACACGATGAATCTCGTTTTACGTTACACCGCTAATGTTTACGATTGAGAAAGTCCCACATTCGCGCTTTAGTGCATTCGTCAAAAATAAATGCGGAAAATGGAGTTCTGAAGGAAAGTGGCGAAGCGCGCAGTTATCCGGCGCGGCTGTCGATACGTCACGCCGCTCTTTCTCGCCAGCCGCACGCATTCAAGTCCCAAGCGGTTGCGGGCGCTTCGGATTTCACATGCTAGAAGCGGTTGCGGGCGCGCGGTGCCAGTAAATCGATTGTTCGCAGGGACAAGCAATAAAAGTCGCGCGCGAATCGAGAAAGAAAAACAACGTCGAGAAAAACAACTTTTCCGTTAGAGCAAGAGAGAGAGAGAGAGAGAGAGAGAG